GATAATATCATATTTAAGTAATAGAAAGCAGCAAGTTAGATTCAATGTGTTTAGCGTATCGCCTTGTACATAGCTGTAAATAGTCGTTAAAATTCGTCATTTGTCTAGTTATCATTTTCTTTGTAATTTTGCGCGAAACGTCGGCGGATCGCGAGCAGTAGAATTATGCGACTCACTTATCGGTGCTGCCATCGCCCATCCGCCGACGGCCATCCGCTCCCCCCAAAAGGGAACAACTATACTCGCCCGCGACACATTGCAGGACCGCGGGCACACACAGACACTCATCGTCACACCACCGTAAGGCACTCATTGCTAAGAGATCTCGGGACATCTACGGCACGTAGACATCTACGCACGTAGCACATCTACGCGCCGACTCGAATCTCCGGAAAACCTCTTAATCTCCCTGGAGGGTGCACTTCTCCTGCTTTCTTACTTACCTGCTTGCTGCCTCGATTTGCCTGCTGCCTTGCTCCCTGCTTGCTGCCTCGTTTTGCTTGCTGTCTTGCTTGACCTGCCTGCTGCCTTGCCTGCTTGCGGCCGCCTGCCTGCTGCTCTGCTTGCTTGCTGCACGTGCCTGCCGAGGAAGGAAGACATCTCCGGGAGACGGCCGACCGAACGGTGAGTCGCTTTCGCTTTACTCGTTTATCGTTAGTCGTGAGGGGAAATTTACCACCCCCCTCTGGTCCTTCGAGCAAACTCGCTAATAACGCAAATCTCGCCTCCGGGGCGAAACAATTCCCGATCACAATGATATATGTTCTAAAATAATTGAGACAGTATATGGCGTGCCACAAGGATCCGTATTAGGACCTCTATTGTTTACTTTGTATATAAATGATATAGTTAAAGTCTGTCCGGGGGGAAGTATATTTAAATTATTTGCAGATGACACGACCGCAAGTGTAACAGGAGAAAGTTGTGAGGAATTAGAAATAAAACTAAATATGGTGCTCGGTATACTTGAAGAATGGATGAATGTGAATATGTTAAGAATGAATGCAGATAAGACCAAATATATGATAGAAGTATAAGAAAAAAAATAAAAACAGACATAATAGTAAAAAGTTTGGATGGAACTATAATTGAGCGTGTCGAGATAACGAAACATCTGGGTGTAATGATCGATAGTAAACTCCGTTGGGAGAATCACTGTGATTATATGTTAAAGAAAATAGGGAAGAAAGTGAGTTTTCTGAATAGAATAGGAAATTATATATCGGTGTACACTCGATGTACTGTGTATAAGTCTATCATAGCGCCTCACTTTGAATATATATTGCGCAACTGCCTTCGGGCTCTTTTGTTGCAGGCATATGCAGGATTTTTGCTGCTTGTTGCTAATTATAATTAGTTTTTTCCGTACTTGTCACCTTTATGCTTGATACTCTGATGACGGGTCTGCTTGTGCCCTAACCTAATTTTTTAGCTGTGTTGGCGAGCGGCGAGGATCTTCTCCACCTGCTCCTTCTACACCATGATGCTCATGTTCCTGTTGATGTGAGGAAGATCTCTGCGCATGCGCCTGTATACGTTTTCTGCTCTACTATCTATTCAGGCTATTACGCATGAAATACCGCTAGATCGAATCACATACGGTTCTGCCGAGAAGACCTAGTGCGCAAGCGCCTGTGTATATTTCTAGCTAAACTCTCTGTTCTGAGCTGGTGCGTTTCTCTAGTTATATTAAGCGATAGTGACTATCAACTGATAATATATGGAGCCGCTTGCGTGCACCAGGTGCAAAAAGTCGATTGCAACTAATTTTGTTCAGTGCGAGTGCAGGAGAGTCTTTCATCCAGGATGCATCAAGCCATATTCCATGACAAAGTACGTGGAGTCTTGCTGCAAAACTTTATCTGCTTCATTAAATACACCTTCTACTCCAGAGGTGGATGGTGCAGCGCGATTATTTGATTTTGGTAGTATAGCTATTCCTGCGGACACTGGCACTCAATCGAAAGTGCAAACTGACACTGCGACTAAAGAGTTGTTCCTTATGCTGGGTCTACAATGCGAGTCTCATAGTCGCAAGAAAGGTCGTTACACCTTTATTTCCGGTCTTAGGACAGTCGTATTCGTAGTCGCTCAAATTGGTTCAATTCCAACGACTACCTATTCCAAGTCTTCCAACGATTACCCACAATATATCACTGCGACGGACCAGACTAGCGGAAAAATAGTACGAAGAAGGGAAAAAGTTTATGTTTATTATTACGAGTTCCGAGTTTCCTTTTTCATTATTTCCGGTCTTTAGGACAGTCGTATTCGTAGTCGCTCGAGTTGGTTCAATTCCTATTCCAACGACTACCCACAATATATCACTGCGATGGACCAGACTAGCGGAAAAATAGTACGAAGAAGGGAAAAAGGTTATGTTTATTATTACGAGTTCCGAGTTTGCTCTTTTAAAACATGAATATGGAAAATATGGATTTGTATACTCAATATGAATATTTGGAGGAAGATGAAGAGGAGATAAATGAAGAAAATTCAGACCAAGTTCCAACAACCGTCTTGGAAGACATTTATAATATTGATAAAAAACTTCAAGATGACTTGAACCTGATTGCGCTTGTTGAAGGCAATTGTAGACTTTATGCCAAAGGAAAAGCGGGTTACAAGAATGTACAAGAAAAAGAAATGGCATGGGTTTCTATTGGTAAAGCCTTAAATATAAGTGGTGAGTGCCAGTTTTTTGTGTATGCAGGTTATATGTAAGATCATGTCACTGTGAACACATTTTATTGATTTTCCTATAGGATCAGATGCGAAACACAGATGGGATACGCTACAAAATCTCTATAATCGCTCAAGGCGAGAAATATTGGTGTTAATAGAACAAGGACGGTCAGGTTCAGGGAGAGATAATGTGTCATATGAAAAGTTGTTGACACCACAAAGCATGGCTATTCATCGTTTCATGGGTCATCTGTATATTCCACGAAAGTAACTATATATAATTACTGATTTTGACATTTATATTTAATTCTCTGATTTATTTCATTTATTTCATTCATGAAATTCTTTGTTTCCAACTGTACAATTGTTGCCTTATTAATTTAGGAAAATTATGTTATAGGACACTCTCCAATTATACCAAATCTATGCCATCTGCATCATGCACTTCTTCGTCTGGTTCTAAAAATGTACTTCCCCTCAGGCCTGTCTCCAAATCGTTATTGACAAAGCGTCCACGACCTATACCACCTATACCTATTTCAGATTCAGAAGAATCGACAACATCATTAACAGATTCGCCAGACGTTCTTATTTGTAAAGAAAACTTTGTTGACGACATTTCTAAAAGTGAGTGATCAAATCATTTTCCAGAGAAAACTCAACTTTTGATTATAAATGCTCTTAACATTTCTAAAAAAATTTTAGATAAAAAAAGTATTGGTGATCAAGCAAGTGACTGCTCATTCATATAGTACCTACTTCAGATATCAAAAAAAAAAAAGAAAACAGATGGCGAAATAGAATCTGTGATTAAAGAATCCTCAAAGTCAATAACTGCAGCTTGCTCAGCTTACTCAGCTTCCTTCCAGCAGACACAGAAAAATGCAACTTCCAAGGCAGACACAGAAGAAGATGAAACTTTAATGTCATTCTTGTCACATGGGTTAAAACGTGTGCCTGTAGAACAGAAAATAAGATGCATGATCAAAATATTAGAGGTATTGGAATCATTTCAACAAAAGTGAATAACAAGACTGCGTAGTTATTACGAACAGAAAGCACAAAAATATATTATTTTGTTATAAAGTTTTAGAGCTTTATATAAAATATTGCAATTTTAAAATGCAATTTTACTAAAAAATCACATCTGAAAAAGTTTTATTTTTTTTAAACTCGTGATATCAACTGTGATTTTATTTTTTATCATAATTATCGTTTATATTATTTTAAGTAGTCACTAGTCTTTCATATGTCACAATATTTTAATTTTAACAGTGATTAACAAATAAATAATAGAAGTTATTGAACGTGTTCAAAACAAAGCGGCTAATTTGCTCGACGAGAGATTGAATGTGATTGATTGGATCTACAAGAAAAAATCAATCATATTCAATCGCTCGGCGAGCAAGATAACTGCTTTGCCATCTTAAACACGCCCATTGTCTCTCACTATATAGTTATGTATGTTTTATCAAAATCATTATTATCGCACCATATGTTAATCTTGGCTAATCATCGCATTACACGCATGTATTTCGGATTATTTGTGCAAATATTTCATATAAAAGATAAGGAATTGAGTTTTTCCCTGTTCCACACTCAGAGTGTGTTCCGATATTCACTGCCAGTACTGAAAATCTATAGTATACGTGACGCAAACTATAGATTTTCAGTACTGGCAGTGAATATATCGGAACACATGGTCAGAGAAAATGACAGTGGTGGCAATTACATATACGTGACAATTATGTAAGTTTTATATATACATTGTCGAGTGTATATTTGTATTTTTTATGCCTTTTTCTGAATGCAACGATAAGATCAAATACTAATTGCTATTATAGGCATAAGAAAAAGGAGAAAGCGAACAGATACATAAGCGTTGTGAGAAGCAGAAACGGAGTAATCGTTTTCTAAAAATACTGAAGATTAATGTGATGCAATGTTCTTTATATTATAGTTTTATAATTAGTGGATATACGTAATACCGAGTATCTATGATGCGACGTAATGCAAGCAAATGCAATTATAATTTTATTTGTCAAAAACGTTGAATTTTCGAGACGGTTTACATATATTTTCATATATATTTGTTGTCGATTTTCGTATAAAGCTTTTTTTTATTTTTGAACTAATCTCTATAATTATACACCACGCATCATAGATATTCGGAAAGTATTTAATCAACGGCATTCTTATATTGGAGTCGAAATATTTCATAAGTATGTAACGAGAGTATAATTCAATTAAGCAAAATTGCGTATCAGGATATAACTGGGGGGTACTAAGAAGATATTCTTCTGCAGATATAGTGTAGACATTTCATATTTGAGACTGCGAGAACGAGATAAAGAGTCTGATTTTATAATATTGAATTTGTAAGTTAAAGAATGATTTTTGTTTCGTATAATAATGTTGTGTAAGAAAGTTTGTGTTCTTCTATGTGTTCCTATAGGAAAAATTGAAAATTAAATAAAATCATATTTTATGCAAATTATTGTTTTATTTTTAAACATCCTTGCTAATCATAACCGTTCACAGACATGTTTATAATTCTTTTACAAATTTATACATTTATGAAGAGTACAATAAGAATATATAATGTATATACAGACAGAAAGACTTCGAGAGATGCGACTATTGATTTAATATGCCTTTTTTTTAGATAGGATAGGATTTATCATGGAAATCACTCAATTTTTTTCAATTCCTGAGCTTACTTCTCTTATAACTACCGTCTTTCATATATTTTCATCAACAAAGTATAGTGATATATTTTTCTCCCAGATCTGCTTTAAATGTTCTAATAATAACAGTACACATGAAGTTTCTTAATAAACACACCTGGCTTTAGCACATTCTTTTTACTAATTCTTAGAACTAAAAAAAAGATAATATAATAAATACATTAAAATAAAGTGTGCAAGTTGAAACTTGCACATTGCTTCCTCATAGTT